TACATGTATATGGTGGCGTTCGATGACAGGGTGGCAGAGGTTGGAACGGTAGTGAGGTTTGTCGTGGCAATGGTGGCTGAGAAGGGTCCGGAGGTGGTGGTCGAACTCAGCTAGGCGGTGGCTGCCTGATGTGAAGAAGGAGGTTGCGGCCGGTGGGAGACATAAGGGGGGTGACGGCTGGAGGGTTTAGTTAGGGTTAGTATGGGCTATATACCCATGCCTTAGGAAACTTAATGCCATAATGGCATAAATGGTCCCTCCTCATATCATTTACTTACAACCTTAATCCCATATTTACCATTTAAACCCTCAATATTAAAATCCATTACAATTTAGGTACACAATTTACCAATTACACCCCTGCTTCCATAATTCCTCTCAATTCGATCCCTAATTTACCAAACAGCCCCTTAGCCTCCAAAGTTTCTTCAAATGAAGTCCCAGAAGTTACCATTTAGTCCCTTCCTTCATAAATACTTACAAAACCAATCTGAAACTTACACTTTTAACCCCCAACTTCTAAATTATGCCAATTAACTCCTCGAAATCACACCTTACTATATAATTATTGATTTTAGGGCTATTATTCGCTCATTAATTTGTTTATTTATTTATTTAATAAACTGGGTGTTACACTTTAGCCCTTTTTGACCTGTTCAGCAGGTCATGACACCAAAATTTTAATTTTTCGAAAATAATGGGACTTTTATGCAAATTTCGTCAAAATTTGTAGATAATGTATAAATTTCTTTTTTACGTATTTATATCTATTTTTACATATTTGTGTATTTTTTAAGTTTTTATATGTACATTTTTACGTATTTTAAATGTATAAACAAATTTTTTACTTACTTATATGTATTTTGAACTGCATTTTTAGGTGTTATTTTTTATGTATTATGTATTTATATGTATTTTTATGTATTTTAAAATATTTATGTATTTTAAAATTTTTTATATAGATGTTTATGTATTTTAAATGTATAAACGTATTGTTTTACATATTTATATGTATTTTTTTAAAAGTATTTTACATATTTTTTGTGTGTTTTTATGTGTTCTTAATGTATTATGTATTTATATGTATTTTTACGTATTTATGCAATTTTCTTTTTTTATATAGATATTTATGTATTTTAAATGTTTAATCGTATTATTTTTACGTATTTATGTATTTTTTACTTCAACTTGTCTTCACCATTTCATTTAATTCGCACAACTTCTTCTAGTATGTCTAGATGCTTTTACTACATACCCATATATTTTAAGTTTTTATCATTCGATGTTTAATTTAAAGATAAGCTAAAGGGAAAAGCTTAGAATATATGTGTATGTAGGAAAATCATCTAGACATATTCAAAGAAGTACGAATTAGACGAAATGGTGAAGACGACTTGAAGTAAAAAAATACATAAATACGTAAGAAAAATACAGTTATACATTTAAAATACATAAACATTTATATATAAAACTTAAAAAAAATAATTAAATACATAAAAATAGATATAAATACGCAATACATAAAAAACACATCAAAATACATAAAAATATGTCAAATACATATAAATATGTAAAAAATACATTTATACATTTAAAATACATAAACATCTATATAAACAACTTTAAAAAATACATAAATACATAATACATAAAAAAAATAACACATAAAAATAAATAAAAAATATATAAAATACTTAAAAATGCATATAAATACGTTAAAAAATATGTTTATAAATTTAGAATACATAAACAACGTAAACATGTACATATAAAAACTTACAAAAGTACATAAATACGTAAAAATATATATAAACACATAATACATAGAAAATAACACATAAAAATACATAAAAAATGTGTAGAATACTTTATATATATATATATATATATATATATATATATATATATATATACACGTAAAAAAAATACATTTATATATTTAAAATACATAAAAATACATAAACATATACATATAAAAATTTAAAAAATACAAAAGTAAGTAAAATTAGATATAAATACGTAAAAAATACGTTTATACATTATACACTAGGTGTGAGACCCGTATGTTATACGGGTTTGATAAAACAAAAAATTAAATATGAAAGTTTAAACAAAAATTTATTTGAATTTAAAATTTTTGATTTAAAATTTAAAATTTAAAATTTGAATTTAAAAGGAAATGTATTAAATACTATATGAGTACTAATATTGTAATTTGTTGGTTATTTTCAATTAAGGCAATTATTAATTGATTTGTAAATATGATGTGTTAATTAAGAAAATATAAAAAAAATGAGAAAATGACAAATCGAAAAAATATTTTTTCAAAAATACCAAAAAATGACATGTGTCCAAGTTAATGAGAGAGTGACATGTGGCAAAATTATTTTCATTTATTAAGGATGATAAGTTTTGAGTTTTGACTAAATCTGTTGAAAAGTCTCATTATTTTGGAAAAATTAACGATTTGGTCCTATGACCTGCTGAACAGGTGTAAATGGGCTCAAGTGAATAAATTAAACGGTTTGTTAGGCTTTTCTATTCAAAAAGTTAAAAAGTCGGGATTTTTTCTATTCAAAAAATAAAATTTATGACTTTATTAAAAAATTTTCCAAAATATTGAAACTTTTCTGTAGACTCCTCTATAAATATACAATATAAATATAATGTCTAAACATAAATATTTAATTTAAAAGTGATAATTTTTTATTAAATAGTAATTAATAATAAAATCTAATAATTATTTTGCAGCAAGAAATTATTTACAAAAAAGAACTATTTATCACAGACGCTTTGCGCCGGCACATATATATATATATATATATATTATAGATATATATTATATATATATAATTATATATTAATATAATTATATATCTATATACTATATATATATATATATATATATAGAGAGAGAGAGAGAGAGAGAGAGAGGAGGGTTTAATTGAGAAAAAAAAAGGTTGAGAATGGGGGAATCATTCTCAGTCACTCATTTATTTTTGCCACAAAAACCTCTGTCGTACCAGCGGAAATGAGAAATGAATGGACATGTGTTTTCCAACAAAACATATTTCTTTAAACTATGCTAATCATTACCTTACTATATACAAAAACATAGTTTTTTTCGTTTTTTTTAATTTTTAAGAAGCTATTTTTATCGAAAAATGATTTTAAATATACCAAAATTTATGATTTTTTATTCTCTACAAATAGACATCCATATTGATATAGTTTTAAGATAAAATAAAAAGTTTATTTTTTTTATATTTTCAGCTATCGTTATTCATAAGTGAATAAAAATGCATCAGGTTTTATTGCAGTATATTCGTTATTCACTTATGAATAAAAAGTATAATTAATTTTTTTTTAGAATTTAAGTATCATTCATATATGAATATAACATATAATAAATATACTATATTCATATTTAAATATTAGACGATGCATTCATTTGTGAATATTAACATAGTATATTCACTTGTGAATAGATGGTATATTCACTTATGAATATTAAATGATATTTTCATATGTGAATATTACATAGTATTACATGATATATCACATGTGAATATTACATAGTATATTCACTTGTGAATATTAGATAATATATTCATTTATGAATATTACACAGTATATTCACATATGAATATTACAAGGTATATTCACTTGTGAATATATTCACTTATGAATATTAGAATGTATTTTCACAAATATATATAATTTTTATATGTTATTCACATATGAATAACATACAGACTTGCATATTTGTTTTGTGTTTTTAATAATCATATACTGATTCAGGTGAGAAAACATATTCATATGTGAATATAACGTGGTAATTTAGTTTATGCATTTCATCAAACAGTTGGAGTGCATACAAGTTAACTTTTTTAAAAATGTTAAGAACATGATACTTCCGATTCAAGTTATCAATTCCAAATCATCATATACTTCCGATTTCGACTTTGAAGCATGCAATTCCGATTTTGATTTCATTCCAACAAAAATTCCGATTTCAATTTTGAAACCTTGAAATCCCGATTCCAGATTTCTTTGTAATTACGATAATCAAGACGCAAACTGTTCCGATTAGAATACATGTTCCAATTTCAAAAGCTTCTGACTTCAGATGTGACATCCTATGTCTGATCGATTTCACATTTTGATTTTTATTTCCGAAAATCTGATTGGAAACCTGTGAGTACCGATTCCGAGTCCTTCAATGTCGACTGTGACTGCGAGTCCAGAACTCCGATTCCAAATTCATGAACAGCGAAGAAATTCCGATTCCAACTGAGTTCGTTTGCGAATCTGAGAAATTCCAATTTGGAGTATTCAACAAAGAAATCGATGTTACGTATTTGAGATTGAAGGTTATTATCATATTTACAAGTTTGTCACCGTGTCTTTTTTTGCTTAGATTAAATGAGTGGCTGAGAATGATTCCCACATTCTCAACCTTTTTTATTTTCTCAATTGAACTTACCTCTATATATATATATATATATATATATATATATATATTATAATATATATATATATATATATATATATATATATATATATATAATTTGATAATATTATATTTAGAAGCTGATATAAATAATTTTCTTATATTTTTTGAGTTTTTATAAACCAGTTGATGAAATTTATATACTTTAAGGATTTTTTTTTTCTTTCGTTCTTGGTCAAAATATGTTTGGAACGGTCATGGGTATATGCCTACTTTTAATATAAGGATACTCGTTTTTACATGTACAAAAATTATACGTTTGACTGCCTATTTTTGTCATTTGTAATTTAATACATAAAAATTTCTTAAACAATTAATATTTCCAGAATCAACCTATCAACAATATATTATTCACATGTATAACTATTTTATACATAATAAAAAACTTTGAATAAATCTTTCCAAAAATAAAAATAAAAACCACCCACCACCTTTGTTTTGGAACTTGTACCACTCTCTTTCTTCATCTCTTTTTCTCTCTCGATCAATGAAGGTGACAGCCGGCGGCGACCTTCCTCATGGGAAGAACAACCACCAGCAAGGTACAACCCTTCGAAGCACACCAAAGACACTTCTACTCGTAACCCTAACACTCATCATCCTCACAGTTGTACCTCTCTACTACCCTCTTCATAGATACCCTTCCACCACCACCACCACCCATGCTTCCGCCACCACGTCCGCCACTATCTCGCCGGTGTACCACCCTCAAGATGAAGTCATCATCATCAACGACAACCACCATAAATGCGATGTGTTTTCCGGCGAATGGGTTCCGAATCCGGATGCTCCATATTACGATAACATGACATGTTGGGCGATTCATGAACATCAAAACTGTCAGAAATATGGGCGACCCGATTCGGATTACATGAAGTGGAGATGGAAGCCCGATGGGTGTGATCTACCCATTTTTAACCCATATCAGTTTTTGGAGATTGTGAGAGATAAATCTTTGGCGTTTGTGGGTGATTCTGTGGGTAGGAATCAAATGCAATCCTTGATTTGCATGTTATCCAGGGTAAGTTCATCTCTATCATTCGTTTTATTTGAATTTAATTTGTTTATTCAAGTATTTTTGGTAATTAATAATTTTTTATGGTATAAAAAGATTTAAACGTTTGATTTGATATATGATTATATTAATATAATAATATTCGATTATTAAGCGAAGACAAAAAAAATGGGTCCAAAATTCGAATAATTATTAAGATAATGATGGTTAGTTTGAACTTACATGGATAAATGTGTAATTTTGAAGCTAAAAACAGAAATGTTACTATGTCATAATTGGATATAATATTTAAAGAAAATTGTTATGAACTTAGTAGGTTATTTAAAGGTGTGGGAAGAATAATTGGTAAGTTTGGATTTTATCGTTATGCATGACCACATATTTTTTGTGTTTTTCATTATATTTGTAGAAAATGTTATTTAAAATGTGAGTAGGTTTTGACTTTGATATGTTTTTCATAAATTATTTGAAATATATATAAAATTTGTGTTTCTAAAAGGTGGGTATTATACTATTATTCATTATTTTTAAATTTATATATACGTACATAGTGTTGGAGTGAACTAAAACTTACAACAAATCTTTTTTATTTGATATAAAATGAAATATAAACATACTATAAAATGGTAAAATGTCCTAAAAATATGAAGTCATGATAGTTTAATAATCAAGAGTTAGATAGCATCTTATGGGTAATTATGCACATGGAAGTGGACCTCACGCCTACGTGGAAAATATATTATTCACAATTGGTTCTCATTTTCCAAGATCTTATCATCAACTTTTATTCCCAAGTTTCCTCTAATCATTTGCGATTCAAATACATAAATGCTTTTTCTCCAACTTTTTATTTTAATTGCTTGTCTTCAAGGTACAAAACTCTCATTTTTCCCTTTTGAAATATACATTTTTTTTAATAAATGATCAATACTTTTATGTTTTAAGATACACTTTTTAAATATTTGCTACTAAAAACATGATTATTTGTATATCCTATGTATTGTTTTAAACTTTGTGCATCTAAACCACGAGCTAGTGTAATGTACGTTATATAAAAGATTCATACCCAAAAGTTATACAAATAGACATATACATCCATACACAATGTGTGTTTGTGTGTGGATATATATATATATATATATATATATATATATATATATATATATATATATATATATATATGATTTAGGTCTTTTTCTCGGGGTAGTGGTTGAGTGTTGGGTGAGGAAAGTAAGTAGAACGAAATGTACTAAATTTTGTAAAAAGGGTAAAAGTCTGGGAATTTAATTATTTGCTAGGAAGTTTGTCTTTTTATTATTGTTTTCTTCCAATAATTATAATGTTCCATCAATTGATTAAAATAATAAAAAATAATTAATTAAATGTCTTTTAATTATGTACAAATCAAGGTAGTCAATCGTTCTCAAGTCTATTTTTGACTTTAATCAGATTTTTGAATTTAAAATTTTCACACCAAAGTATTATTTCAACCATATATAAGATTCGTATTAATATATAAATAAATATATGTTTTAAATAAAACTTTGTAGATCTGGACTAATATTATAACATTTACTCGGTGACAATTTTCAGGGAATATAATCCTGCTGGCAACATGGACTCCTCAACTATTTTTCAAATAAATATATATATTATAATAAACTTTTGCCATATCTTATATTTTATAATTTTGTACGAAATCAAACATTTTAATAAATATATCTGATTAAATGTTTTTTATTTTTACATTTTTTTTAAACCGACAGTGTAAATGTAAACAGCTTTATAAAGTCAGGCAAAAAGTTAGAAAACTCTATAATAACTGACATTTTAAAATAATAAAAAAAAAAAAGTAATTATTTGGTGTTATTGGGATATCTATTTTGCATATACTTACTTTACTTGGCTATCAAATTTAGTGCATAAATAGAAAAAGGGAAAAAGTAAAATAAGTAAAATATCATACTTTTTCCATATAGTTATTCTTTGCTTTTTCAAATTTTTACTATTTTTGGCTGTTTAAATAAATTATTTAAACAATTATGTAATTTTACATTTTTCAGGTCGAATATCCGATAGATCGATCAATAACAAAAGATGAAAACTTCAAACGTTGGTATTATGTTTCATACAACTTCACACTCGCTACATTTTGGTCCCCATTTTTGGTAAAATCAGAAGAAGCCAGTGCAGACGGTCCAACTCACAATGGCCTCTTCAATCTCTACCTAGACGAATTCAACGAAAAATGGACAACCCAAATCGACGAATTCAACTATCTGATACTCAACACAGGCCACTGGTTTTGGCGGCCTGCATTGTACTACGTGAACCGTCAAATTGTCGGTTGTCGATATTGTCAGCTAGAAAACATCACAGACTACCCCATGACATTTGGATACAGAAAGGCAATCAGAACTGCATTCAAAGCAATCAACAGTCGAGAAAAGTTCAAGGGTATAACGATTTTACGGACATTTGCCCCTATGCATTTCGAGGGCGGGGAGTGGAATGAGGGTGGGAATTGTCTTAGGAAGAAGCCTTTTAAGAGTAGTGAGATAACTTTGGAAGGGGTAAATTTGGAATTGTACATGACACAAATTGAGGAATTTAGAAGAGGTGAAAAGGAGGGGAAAGAAAAAGGGTTAAAGTATAGGCTTTTGGATGCAACCCAATCTATGTTATTAAGGCCAGATGGGCATCCAAGTAGATATGGACATTGGCCCAATGAGAATGTTACTTTGTATAATGATTGTGTCCATTGGTGTTTACCTGGACCTATTGACACGTGGAGTGATTTCCTACTGCATATGTTGAAGATGGAGGGTCTAAGATCGGCTGAAGAGAAATCACATGTGAAAGGGTAAATTGGGAAAATTGTTGTTGGTTTTATTTAATTTGTCATTAATTTTGATTATTATTTATTAGGCTATTGTAATGCCTTTAATGTAATATTGTGGATTAAAAGTTGTAAGTTGTAACTATATATCTCACATGGAGTATTGTGAGATCTATTCCTTTAATATATTATGGATAAAGTACATTGCATTTAGACCTTGTGATCTTTCTATATGATAAGTTATTTTATATTTAAATTAGTCCGGGATAAAATAAAGTAAATATAAATAAAAAAGAATGGACAGAGAAATGTAAAGCCCATAAGATCTGCATCAATAATTATGTTTTTCCGACACATTTTGGATCACTTGTTGGTCCCCCACTAAGTTGTATAATAAATTTTATTTTTTGTTGAGGACAACTCCGATTTATTGAAAACTAGCTTTTTTCTAAGATATTTTTAGGTTATTAAGTTGTTGAAGTTCAAAAGGACTTATGATCGGTTATTTTGATTTTTGTTTAATTGGTTCAATTTAAATGGTTTTTTTTAACATGTTTAAAGTGACCATAATTAAACCAAATATGTTTTGTTAATAGATTTTGGGTTTTTCGGTTTCAGTTAATTTGATTCGGTTTACCGGTTAAACTGAATAATATTTCACTTCAAAAATATATTAAACTAACAGAAAAAATATAACATATTAGTTTTGTATCAAATAATTAAAAAAAAACATAGATACATAAAATATTATTCCTGCAATATGTATTTTCAATTCGATATAAGCCAATTTAAAGTTTCAAATACCATTTATCCATAACAAATAACAAAACAACAGAAAAAAAAATGAATGAAACACTGGAGCTGCAGGAATAATTTGAGGCTTTTACATTTGAATGAACACATTGGTAATTATGTATTTAATAGTACATATAATACAAACATAAATAATAACAATTATTCCTTAACAAGTAATTCGTTAAATAAAAACTTTTGTAATAATTAAACTATGAATTACATATTCGTTTTGTTCGGTTTAACTAAATTTAAAAAAAACAAAAAACAAAAAACAAAAAACAAAATCAAACCAAATAAGATCATTATTATTCAATTAACTAAACCAATTAACCAAAACCCAAATAAACCAAACCAAATGATTCAAACATCATTCGGTTTAGTTGATTATTCGGTTTCGGTTTTTTCTCACACCTAACTTTTTAAAAAGTTGTTACAAAACTAATTGTTACAGATAAAAAAGAAATTTGGTAAAAACTAATTGGAAAATAGAAAATAACATTAACGGAAATAAATAACTATAAAAATAACATGTGTTAAAAACTGAGTGGAAATAGAAAATAGCATAAAAAGACATATGACAAAACGATTTGATATTATAAGACAAATACATAGTACATTTCATTAAATCAAATTTGATGTTTATGGTAGGGGTGAAATTGGTACGGTGCCGAGATTATTTTCTCCAAACCGTGTACTGTACCAACTATAGTTGGTATAAGATTTTAGCTACCAGTACCGTACCAAGTGTACTTGGTACCAATTAATTTGGCTACCAACAAATTTGGTTGGTATATATTGGTATTTGGTATATACCAAAATTTTTAACTAATATGTACTATACATGAATATAAGTTGAATTTGTAGACATTTGGCTGTTGCTTCACTCGCTTCTGGTAGTATTCTTTTTATTTGGAAACAACTAAAAGGATTAAAAGAGGTCCACCCCTAGCAAGTTTCTATAGGAAACAAATGGTAATAGTACAAGTACAAGGAATGAGAAGTTAGTATTCCTTTTTAAGTTTTAGTGTATGTATCACCGATCTCGTGCACATCAAACAATAAGTATCAAGAAATTTGTCGGTCAATGTGTTAGTTTAGTAATTCTAAGACTTGTTAGTTGTTATTCTAATTAAAACATGAAGATATGAGAACTCATATTTCTTTGTATTTATGAATTGATATATATATATATATATATATATATATATATATATATATATATATATATATATATATATATATATATATTGGTTGGTACGGTACAACCGTGATATTCAAAATTTCATACCGTTACCGTACCAAGACTACTTAATTGGCATGGTATTACCAGCCAAACATATTGGCTACCAAACAACTTGGCTACCGATTTAATTGGTTCGGTTGGTAACATGTTGGTTGGTTCTCTGTGGTACATATTTGCCAGCCCTAGTTTATGGTATAAAATTTGCTTGAATTGGAATTTCACAACAAAACACCAAGGCAATGCTCCATTCGAATTGTTTTAGAGTATGTTTGGCTACGAGTTTTTGAGAATTTTCAGAAATTTTTTAGAGATTTAATTTATTTGTTTTGTAATTTTATATCTTTCAAAAGCTTACGTCTATTATTTTTTCAGAACATTTCTATATATATAAAAGTTATAGTTATTAGAAAACTATATATATATATATATATATATAGTTTTGTCAAATATACCCCGGATAGAATATACATCCCCATTATCTTTGATCCATTTGTGAATGTGAGATTTTGTCTATTAATGAAGTAAAATTGGAAATCTATTATAATGAGGCAGTTGTGGTCAATTTTTTATGTTGATTACGCAAAATGAAATAAGTGAAAAGCGAACAATAAAGACTAGTCTTTGAAATGTCTCTAATTTGATATTATAATAATCAAATCATAAAGTTAGATAAAAAACGACCAATCTTCCAACTCAAAATTAACGGATTTGGTTGAGATTTTAAACTCATCTATATCTATATATCTTATAAAGATAGCATTTTTCCTTGAACCTCATGCATTTGAAACTCCCATGCATTTTTCCTTTAACCACATTCATTTGAAACTCTCATGACTTTTCAATTTCTTTCTAATAATAATTATAAGTTGGTTAATAAGGTTAAATAAATAACAAACTTAAAGTGTAATCATATATAAACTAAATTTCAATATAAAAATAATATCTTTACTTCTACTTATAAAGTTATGTTTTTAAATTTTAGCATATTATATTTAATTTATTAGTTTTAATATATTGTTGGATATAAACCATTATAATTTTAAAGATACAACTTTGGAACAATTTGTATAAAATACTTAAATTATTAATTTAAATATAACATTACATGGTCAATTTAAATATAAATTTTAGTTTACCTTAAACAACCCAAAAATTAATATAAATGAGTGAACCCGTCTAACCATTTAGTTAAATGTATTTGGTTGGCTAAAAATTATAAACTACCTTTCAATAATCTAATTTATTACAACTTGGTATTTCAATGATCATCATTTAGCAATGAGCTACCAAGCGTCTTTTCCTAAAATTTAGCATTACCATCAATAATAAGTTAAATATACTTAGAATATAACATTTAGTTAAACCTTATAGATCTTTGTGATATAACATGTCATTATATACATTAAAAAGAAGAAATCGAAGCTTCAAGAGAACAAAACAAACTACATATATTATATATACTATATATGTAATATATATTATTCGTGTAGCATATGGTCATGTGGGTTGGAAAATAACAGATCCATGCAATAAACAACACAGGAATTAGGTTACCAGTCGTCTTTTTTGTTGGCTAGTCATCTTCTTTCATGTCATTTTCCATGATTGGATGATGGCTTCTTATATACACCATTATGGACTACGAAGAAAAAAAGTTATGTCAAGTGTCAAAGTACCAAAAGAGGTCCACGAAAAACACTATCAAGCACATTAGCCAGTCTGTTTTTTCATGTGCATTATTTTATCATTCTATTAAAAAAGTTGGATTGTCCTCTTGTTGAAATCGAATTATTATGGATCTCATTTATGATTTCATATATTCCTTTTTGTTTGTGTGTTATAGAACATGGATCTATCTACATATAATCTGCTTACATCATCATGATTGTAAGTAACTTTTATGAATTACGAAATAACAAACCATTGTATAGTTTATGAGTGTATTTTAAATTGTGCAATAGTTTGCAGCTAACTATATAATTCATTGGAAGCGTATTTTTATCTAGAATCGTCGACTCCTTGTCATTTAGCACATCAAGAATCCAATGATGCAAATTATCAAAGTGTTGTTACTATCTCAAATGCAAGTTGTAGTCTGACCACATAATCTGACTCCTTTGTTCCAATTCACTTCGTGAACAAATGAACTAGAATGGCCCATTTGTTATGTAAGATAGGATGGGATAAGACACTCTTATACTGTATTTCACAATGCATGTATTGTAAAAGACAGTGTTTTAAAAATCGGTTCCCGGTTTTACAAAAACCTGAACCAGTTAAATATAACAAATATTGGTAATCTTTTTCACATCTATTTAGATTTCTCTTTAAATTTAATAAAAATGCATAGTAAATGTTATGAATTTTTTTGATTCTTTTGTATTCGTCTAATGTTATATTTTGTTTAGTTATTTTACTTTATTTCTTTTAATGTATGTAAATTGATGTAAAACTTATGGTTGTATGTTTTTTTAATGATTTTTATGGTTTTATGTCTTTTTAATATTTAAACTTGTGGACGTCAAATTCTTAGTTTATGTATGTATGTATGTATTAGTATGCGTAGGGAAATAAGAATAAAATGAAAATTCTAAAAACTGGGTTGACTTGACGGTCGAACCTGTTAAATCGATTGAACCACGAACTGATCACCATACCGGTTCAACTAAAAAACCGGTTTTTAAAACACCAATAAAAGAAATTATAGTGTCGTTATTTTCCAAATAGAAAAAAAGGTTAAAAAATACTGCTTTTTTTTTTCAAATATTGTTAAAAGGAACTATAGTACTTTGTTTGTCATGTATTGGTGCAATTCATCATATAATAGTAAAACTCTAACAATGTTTTTTTGTCATGTATTAGATAAAAGTAAACTCTAACAATGATCATGTATGCCTTTTCCATTATGTTTCATTTTTTTCGATTAGTGAAAATTTATTGTTCTGTAAGGTTGGTAAAAGATTTTCTAGAATCATTTTCGGGTTTGTAAAATCGTGATTGTAAAATAAAATCGAAATTATAAGATTCTACCAAGGAGCTACTGCTAGTGCTAGTTTTAATTAATTTTCATTCGGATATCTAGAA